ATAATCTATGTGGACATTTAAGAGTATTAAGACTTTTCTTTTAATCAGTTACACAGATCTTGAAATACAGTTTTTTTTCGTTTTCATTCACTTATAATTAATGATTTTTTGTGATGGAAATTAACCCAGAGCCTTATGAATACTGAGCATATGTTTTTCCACTAATCCTATACCCCAGCCCCTGGTTAAGAATATTTTAAACATAGGCTGGTGTTGCAGTGCACACCTTTAATCCCAGCACTTAGGATGCAGAAGCTGGTGGATCTTTGTGAGTTTGAGGCCAGCCTGGACTACAGAGTGAGACTGCCTTAAAAAAAACGGTATTTTGAAGAGGACTTGGTGGCTCATGCCTGTAATCCAAACACTTAGGAAACTAAAGGAATTCTGGCAGGAATTTGAGGCCAGCCTGGGCTCCTGGAATAGTGAGTTCCAGGTCAGCCTGGGCTATAGAATGAGATTCTGTCTCAAAACATAAACAACAATGACAAAAATGTTAAAATTTCTTTGGTGATTTCTATTTATTTGTAGAAAGAAAAGTAAGTTTATTTAGTATACTGCAAGGAGCACAGCAGGCATGACAGTACTGGAATGCTGCCAACTGTGATTTCTTCTCAGATCTGTAGGTTAATTAGAAGTATTTTTGTCTAATTTCAGAATGTGGAAATTAACTGGGTGTGGTGGCACATGCTTTTAATCCCGGCACTCATGAGGCAGAGGCAGGTGGATTTCTGTGTACCTAGTCTACATAGGGAGTTCCAGGCCAACTGGGGCTACAGGGAGACCCTTTCTCAAAAAACAAAAAAAAAATAGAGATTATTTCATCATCATCATCATCATCATCATCATTATTATTATTATTTGTATTTGTTATTATTATTATTATTATTATTATTATTATTATTATTATTATTTGTGTGTGTGTGTTTTGAGACACACAGCTGGCCTGGAACTCACTATGTGGGACCAGGTTGGCCTTGAACTCACAGAGCTCCATCTGCCTCTGCCTCCCGAGCGCTGGTATTAAAGGCGTGTGCTACCATGCCCGGCTAATTTTTTTAAATGTATATGGGTATTTTTCCTGTCAGCATGCAAGTGCACCATGTGTATACAAGACCCACTGAGGCCAGAAGAGAAAGTTGGATCCTTTGGAACTGAAGTTACAGATGATTACTAGCCACCTTGTGGGTGCTAGGAGCCAAACCTGGGTTCCCTGCAAGAGAATCGGGGCTCGCTTTCTCTCTCCCTTTTTTTTTTGGTCTTTTTGAGACAGGGTCTCCCTGTAGCCCCAGCTGGCCTGGAACTCAGTATGTAGACCAGGCTAGCCTTGAACTCACAGAGATCCACCTGCCTCTGCCTCCTGAGTGCTGGGATTAAAGGCGTGTGCCACCATGCCCAGTGAACAATGTGTTTTAAATTAGTATTTTCATTGGTTCTTTGAGAATTTCATACAGTGTATTTTGGTTATATTCACATCTCCTCCATCAGCTCTCAGACCCACCCCCCATCTCCCTATACCCCCTTTCACTTCTTATACTCTATTATTAATATGTTATTTTTATTTTCATTTTTGTTTTTTTTGTGACAGGGTCTCCCTGTAGCCCTAGCTGCCCTGGAGCTCACTATGTAGAACAGACTGGCCTCTTGTATCTCTTCACAGAGATCAGTCCACCTCTGTTCCCTAAGTGCTGGGATTAAAAGTGTGTGCCACCATGCTTGGCTTCCTATCAATTTTAATTAAAAAATTTTTTAATTTCTATGAGTGTTTTGCCTGTATGTATATAAGTGCACCTGTGCCATGCAATGCTTAAGGAAGGCAGAAGAGAGTCATCAGATCCCTTGGAACTGGAGCCACAGATGTTTTTTAGCTATCATCTGGGTAATGGGAACCGGGCCCCATCTTCTGGAGGAGTAGCCAGTGCTCTTTACTGCTGAGCCACCTCTCTATCCCCTATTGTTATTTTTTTTTAAAGGCCTATGGAGTCTCATTTCTGTTCCCCAAATGCTCTTGGGTGTGGGTCCATGCCCAAGTCTGGTCAACCTACCTAGCATCACACCATTGAAGAAAACTGCCTCTCTTCTCCCAGCAGCTATTAGTTGTCTGTTTCCTCAGCTAGGGTGGGGGCTTCTTGTTCACCTTCCCCTTCCATGCTGGGTACTTACGAATGCCGACACAAGTGTTGTAGGTTTATATGTACAGCTACCTTGTTATGTCCAGTAAACATAAAGGTGTATTCATTCACCTCTCCTCTACAATGATCTCTGAGCCTTGTGAAGAGAGGGTTTGATATAGCTGTCCCATTTAGGGCCAGAAACTGTTGCAGTTGAGGAGTCAAATGTGTTATATATGTCAGTTAGCTAAAATTTGTAAATTGTGCTGTTTTAAGTCTTCTGTATCTATTGATTTTTTTCTACTTTTTTTCATCAGTTACTGAGAGTTTTGCCAGTCTTCAAATATTACATAGCTGCTTATTCTTTGCCTTTGGATTTTGCTCTCTGTATATTGAGGCTGCCTCAGTTTCATAGAAATTTAAGATTGTTATATTCTTGGTGAATTGACTTGTCATAATTATGGAATTTTCCTCTGTCTAATAATGAGTTTTGATTTTAGGTCTAGTTTGTTTGATATAGCCATACCAACTATCTCATGGTATTTGCATGTTTTACCTTCTGCATTTTCTTTGTTTCTTTGCTCCATTTAAATATTTTATTGATTATTTATTTTATGTGTATGAGTGTATTGCCTGCATGTATGTAAATGCACCTGTGTCATGCAATGCGGAGGTCAGAAGATGGTATCAGATTCTCCTGGAACTGAACTTATTGATGGTTGTTGGCCACCATGTGGGTGCTGGGTCTTCTGCAAGAGCATCTAGTGCTCTTAACCATTGAGCCATCTCTCCAGAGTCTGTTTCGTTTAAATTTGTTTTTCTTAAGTAGCAAACAGCTGATTTTTTTTATTTAGCACTTAAAATTCTTTTTTGATTTATGTGTATGAGTGTTTTGTCTGCATGTAACTGTACCACATGCATGCAGTACCCGAGGGGGCATTGGATCCCCTGGAACTGGAGTTACCAATGGTTGTTAGCAGCCATGTGGGTGCTCTGCAAGAACAGCCAGTACTCTTAACTGCTGAGCCATCCCTCCAGCCCATTATTTTTATTTATGTGTATGTGTTGCTATATGTTTATGCATGTGTGTACAAGTGCCTACAGGAGTGCATCTGATTCTCTAGAGCTGGAGTTAAAGGTAGTTGTAAGTTGCCTGATGCTGGGAACCAAACTCTGAACCTCTACAAGAGTAGCATGTACTCTTAAATACTGGATCATCTTTCTAGTGTCCCCTCCCCGGTTTGTTTTTTTATCCAATACGATAGATTTTTAAAAATGTGTATTGGTGCCAGGTATAGTGGTACACGCCTTTAATCCCAGCACTCAGGAGGCAGAGGCAGGTGGATCTCTGAGAGGTCAAGTCCAGCCTGGTCTACATAGGGAGTTCCAGGCCAGCTGGGGCTATAGGAAGACCCTGTCTCAAGAAGACCCCCCCCAAAACAATTCAAAACATTGAAACAGTAACATATAAGACATCTTCTATAGTGACAACTTAATTGTCTAGTTTCCTTCCATGTATGTAGCTGAAACTTCAGTATTGTATTTTTTGTTTCCAGAGATATAAAATGAAAGACTTTAAATTGAAGTCTTTTGTTGGTGGTGGGGGGGTTGGGAAGGAAGACAGTGTGTCATTATGTAGCCTTGGCTGGCTTCATATTCACAGAGATCCATCTGCCTGCCTCTGTCTGCTTGCTTGGATTAAAGTTGTGTGCCATGTGCCTGACCAAGTTGATTTGTAGAGATAATTTTTTCTTAATTATTTATTTATGCATTTGATAGGGTGTCCAAGCATAGTTTGTGTGGTTACTTCCTTTCACATGTGGATTCCAGAGATTGAACTCCGGTTGTCAAGCTTGGCAGCAAGGGCCTTTATGTGCTAAACCAACTGTGGCCATTTAAGTTAATTTTTTAAAAAATATTTTATTTATTATTTTTATTTTATGTGTATGAGTGTTATTGCCTGCATGTATGTGAGTGCACCTGTGTTGTACAATGCCTCGGAGGTCAGAAGAGAGCTTCGGATTTCCCTGGAACTGGAGTTAAGGACTGTTAGTAGCTGCCATGTGGGTGTTGGGTCCTCTGCAGGAGCAGTCAGTGCTCTTAACCGCTGAGCCATCTCTCCAGCCCCAAGTTAATTTTTTTAGGTCTTCCACCTCTGATTCTGAATCTCCTTACCTATAAAATAATGCCTCTTGGGCTGGAGAGATGGTTCATTCATAACACATGTATAAAAAATAATAAAATAGGCCAGGCATGGTGGTGCACGTCTTTAGTCCTACCACTTGGGAGGCAGAGGCAGGAGGATCTTTCTGAGATCAAGGCCAGCCTGGTCTACATAGTAAGTTCCAGGACAGCTGGGGCTACAGGGAGACCCTGTCTTAACCCCCCCCAAATAATGCCCCCATATTTTATAAAATAATAATTCAGGTTTTTTTTTTTTGTCTTTTTGAGACAAGGTCTCTTTGTAGCCCCAGCAGGCCTAGAACTTGCTATGTAGACCCTACTGGCCTCAAACTCAACTGCACCACCTGCCTTTGCCTCCCAAGTGCTGGGAAAAGAATCCAGTTAAAGTTAGTATCTAGCTATTAATTTTTTGTAAGCAACTATTATTACATTAGTAAGGATGAATGTGAATATATTGCATTACTGCCCTGAATTTGCCTTATTTTCTATTGCTTGCTGTATTATACTTTTTTGTTCTTTCATTTGTGAAGGAGCTTTATTCTTGCTTGTTTGGTGTGCCAGTGTTTAAATAATGGAAATGATTCTATTTATTTAAAACCAACCAGGGGCATATGTTTAAAGGTGTTTTATTGTTAAAATTTATAGTGATTATTGCCCCATTCACTACTAGGTGGTATTCTCTTGCATAATAAATTTACTTTTTTATAGTGCTCTCTCAGAGGAAGAAAAGTCAACATTGCGTGCAGGGCTCATCACAAACTTTAATGAACCAATTAACCAGGTTAGTGACAAAATGAATGCTATTTGTTCTTTTAATTTTTACTTTAAAAATTATAATTTATTTTATGTGTATGAGTGTATTGCCTGCATGTATGTGAGTGTGCCTGTTTTGTGCAATACCTGAGGAGGTCAAAAAAAGGGCATCAGTTCCTCTGGAACTGGAGTTATAGACAGTTGTTAGCCACCATGTAGATGCTGGGATTGAACCCGGGTCCTCTGCAAAAACAACCAGTGCTCTTAACTGCTGGGCCATCTCTTCAGTCCCCAACTTTTGCTTTTTTAAATAATTTTTTTTCCTGGTATTAAAAGAAAATTTTTAGCTAGGTGTGGTGGCGCACACCTTTAGTCCCAGCACTGAGGAAGCAGAGGCAGGTGACTCTCTTGTGAGTTTGAGGTCATCCTGGTATGTAAATGAGTTCCAGGGCATCTGGGTCTACAGGGAAACCAGTTACAAAAAAGAAACCAAAAAAAGTACATTATGGTGGTACATACCTGTAATCCTAGCATGTAGGAAGTCGAGGCAGGAACATCAAGAGTTTAGGGTGAACTTTATATAGAAAGTTGGATACCATTCTGGGCTACATAAGACTATTGTTTCAGTGTCCTCCCCCCAAAAAAATTAAAAAGAAAAAAAATCTTACTTCATTGCTTCTGTTTGTGATGTTTTACACAGCTTGTCTGCTGGCTTTGAAATTTTGGGAGCCAGTTGTAGCTGTTTAGAACTGGTTAGATCTGGCAGTTGATGACTTAAAACCCAGAAGTCATTTTTCAGAGTATTTTAAACTTTCAACTTCCTTAGTTTTTAAAACAATATTTAAAGGAAGTCTTAAAAAATAACTGTAGTCTCTCTCACTTTTTTAAGTTGTTTGGTTTTTTAGGGAGGAATGCAGTTGAGACTGGATAGCTGTGCAGCTCATTCCGGCCTTTCATTGCAGTTGTCCTGCCTTAGCTCCCAAGGACTAGAATTATGGATGTGTGCCACCACACTTGCATATTCTAGTCCTCTTGTGTATGAATTAATTTCTTCTAAGTGGGAAAAAGAATACACTATTTGTTACACACCTAAAACATGGAAGCATTTAATCAGAAATTAATTTTAATGATCTACTGTACCTGCATCTTCTATATTTTGAAAACTACAAAATAATTTTAGATTTCTTTTCTATTTTCTGCATCCACCACATTTTCAATTTCCTGTGGCAGATAAGTCATAGATCATATGGTTTTAATTTGTGTACAGGCTTAAAATTCTTAAGTATTTCTAAGATGATACTAGTTACTGTACTTGATTTTTTGAAATTTGAATATCAAAGCACACTGGATCTAGCAGTATTTTTTTTTCAAAAAATATTAAAAATTTTTCTTTTACTTTATGTGTATGAGTGTATTGCTGGCATGTATGCAAATGCACCTGTGTTGTGCAATTCCTACGGAGATCAGAAGAGCAAGTTGGATTTCCCTAGAACTGGACTTACAGATGGTTATTAGCTGCCATGTGGGTATTGGGACTCAATCTTGGGTCCTCTGCATGAGCAGCCAGTGTTCTTAACTGCTGAGCCATCTTTCTAGCCCCTCTAACAGTATTTCTGAGGTAGTTTTATTTTGACCAGTTTAAATGATGTCTGTTTTGTGATTCTTTGCAAAGAAGATGAGGATAGGGAGAATGATGTTATTCACTGGGGCAGGAGGTGTTGGGGGTGTGTTTGAGGGATTGAAAGCTAAATCATTGCATATGTGTTCTCTCAGAATTTGGGGAACACTTAGAAATATTGTTTAAATGTCTCCTACCTAACCTTCATTTTTTTATCAAGGCTCTGTTTCTTTTTTCTTAAAAATGTATTTATTTTTATTTTATGTTACGAGTATTTTTGCCTGCATGTATGTAAGTGCACCACATGCATGCAATGCCCCAATGTCCACAGAAGCAGAAGAGGGCATCAGATCTCCTGGAACTGGAGTTACAAGATGGTGTGGGCTTCAGTATGGGTGCTGGGAACTGAATCCAGGTCCTCTGTGAGAGCAGCTAGTGCTCTTAACCACTGGGCCTTCCCTCTCATCCCAAGGCCACATTTCTTAAACTTTGTGGCTGCAGAACCTCTTTATACTGCTACTGTTGAAGAACTTGTGGAGTATATCTTTTGGAATTTATTGTATTAGAAATTAAAACTGAGAAATTTAAACAGTTTAGTTTAAAAATAAACTCTATTTGGTTTAACATTTTTTGAAACAAGCAGTAACTTCTCAAAATAAAATTTTAGTGAGAAGAGTGAGTTTGAGGCTGTTTTGGGTAACCTGTGAGAGTTCCCCTCCCCTGCAAAACCCCCAGCACACACAGAGAGAGAGAGAGAGAGAGAGAGAGAGAGAGAGAAGAGAGGGGAGAGAGAGAAAGCTGGTAAACAAGACCATAGAAAAGATTTTTAGAGTCCACGGAATATGCTTTGGGGACTATTGTCTTCAGTAGTTCAGTATAATTTTAATCATTTTTGTTAATATATAGCTTTAAAGTAAGAGATAATTTTAAACCATGAATGTATTATTTATCCATTGCCTTCATTTCATGACTATTTGTCAACATTGCGTGCAGGGCTCATCACAAACTTTAATGAACCAATTAACCAGATTGCAACTCAGATTGCAGTGCTGATTGCAAAAGTTGCCCGGTTGGATTGTCCTAGACAATGGCCTGAACTGATTCCCACTCTTATAGAGTCAGTTAAAGTCCAAGATGACCTTCGACAGCACAGAGCATTGCTTACATTCTATCATGTTACCAAGACCCTGGCATCCAAACGACTGGCTGCTGACAGAAAACTGTTTTATGATGTAGGTTATTTCACATTCATTTGACTATGAAAATTATACTATTTGTGTAAAGGTGAATGTAGTTTTCCTTTTTTTAGTATTTTATGGGAAGATTGTGAATTCTCACTGATTTTAACCTTTGCAGTGATTGAATGGAATGATCAGTGTCAGTGAGGATGTCACTTAGGATGATTGGTTGAAAGGGAAATTGATTTGTGACTGTTGACAGGGTTTAGATGTGATAATGAATCTTCAATGAAACAGTGGTAAAGGGAACTGCTAGGGAAGTAGTAGAGTTAGATAACTGGTGGATGTAAGTTGAGGTACCACTGAGAGGTTTATTAGTCACTTTTCTTGCCACTGTGACAAAATACCTAACAGAAACAACTTACAGAGTTTGTTTTGGCCCTTCGTTTTAGTCCATCATGGCAGGGAAGGCATGGCATAGTTGATGGTGGTAAGTACATCTGGTGGAGGCTATTCACATCTGAAGGGAAGCTGAGAACTTGGTTTAGCCTGTCCCTAGCCACCCAATTCTGCTAGGTAGGCCCCAGTTCCAAAGGTTCCAGAGTATTACAAAATAGCACCACCAACTATGGTTACAGTCCTTCATCAAGGGCAGTCAAGGCAAGAACTCAAGGTAACTTGAAGCAGAGACCAGGGAGGAATGCTGGTTATTGGTTTGCTCCTCCTGGCTTGCTTAGTTATTTTTCTTTTACTGCTCAGGGATGGCACTGCCCACAGAGGCCTGGGCCCTCCTACATCAATTAGAAGTTGAGAAAATGCCTCATAGACATGCCCATACGGCCAGTCAGATAGTAGGAACTCCTTAATTGAGGTTCCCTCTTCCCGGGTGATTCTAGTTTGTACCAAGTTGGAAAAAATAACCATCATACTTAATGTCAGTGGGAGTATGAATTATTTTGACTTCTAAAAGTTACATTCTTACATGTTGCTTTTTTTATTTTCAGATATAATTTGTATTTAGTCTAGGAAGTCTTTATAAGTAGTGGTTGATTTTTTTTTTTTTTTTTTTTGGTAATGGGATTCTAATTCCTTCCTGTACTTACTAAAATACAGGTATGCCTAGCCTTTGTAACTTCCAGTGACAAAACATTGTGTTGAGTTGTAGACTTTTCTCAGATCACTACATTGAGGTTTTACTACTGTGGGTCTGTTAACTAGTGTAGAAAAGTGCATGTGGAATTGGTGCTCCATAACTGTTTAATGAATAATCAGGGTGGGGATATAACTCAGTGGTAGAGTGTTTGCTTGCCTGTCATGTTCAGAGATCTGGATTTGATTCCCAGCACTGCAAAAACAGTCCACCCCAAGATTAAACAACAGAAGAGGCATGCTCTTAGAAATTACTGTATTTAAGCTGGGCTTAGTGATGGCACCTATAATCCCAGCAGAAGCAGGTGGATCTCTGTAAATTTGAGGCCAGCCTGGTTTATATAATGAGGTCTAGGCCAATCGGAAAGAAGGAAGGGAGGGAAGAAGAAAGAAAGAAAGAAAGAAAGAAAGAAAGAAAGAAAGGAAGGAAGGAAGGAAAGGAAGGAAGGAAGGAAGGAAGGAAGGAAGGAAGGAAGGAAGGAAGGATTATATTTCAGAGTTGTATAAAGCAAAACTTCATAAAAGCAGATTTTTGAGTTTTATAGCAAGCTAAAAATAACTAAGAGAAAGTTACTTAGCACATCTCATTTTGGACTGAATTATATAAACCTGGAAACATTGGTTATATATATCTAGTAGGTGTTAGGAAGAGAATCTGGCCTAGTGAGCTCGAGTTGTTGAATTGCAGGTAGCTATGTGGGAAGACTATTACGAAGAATACTTTTGCTGGTTAAAACTACTTCTATTATTTTGGTAACCTGAGGTACAGAAACTCTTCTTTTGATATTTATTGTAATGCCAAGATGGTCTTCAAGTATCAAATTAGCTTTCCACATAAAAAAAGTATGAGTTCATAGCTGAACTAGTTGCTATGGCACAATAGTGTAGGGTACAGTTAAAACCACTGCCTGCTGCTCAATGTAGTTCCAGGATTTTTATTTTCCTTTTCCCCTCCATATTAAAGTAGATGAAGTTCTTTTTAGAGGTGTCAGATTGCAAAATCAGCAGTGAGAGCAAATTGTTTTGTAGTAACAAAATTAAACTTGATTTGACATAAACAAGAATTAATTTTCTGTAAAACAATCTGCCTTTACATATAAACCTAGTTGTTAAAAACTTACATTACCTCCAGTTAAAATGAAAGCAAGAAAATTTGTGATAGAAATAATAATTCTAATGTAATTTTAAGACTACTGGCCAATATCCTTTTTTATATAAATTTTTTTTATTGAGCTTTTGTAACTTCATACAACAGTTCTTAATCAAATTTAGGCCCCTTCCCCCATCCAGGCCACCCCCATCTCCCCACTGGACTTCATGTATTCTGCCATACATGTTTAAGTCCTATCCATTCAGGCATTTGTACCTGTGTCCTTCAGTGTAACTTTGTCCACTGGAATCTAGTCACCCCATCTAGAGATCATATGTAAGGCATACTTTCCCCCACCCAGCAGCAGTCAGTCTCCAATACTTCTCAGTGTAGTGCCGGCCCGCCACCTATTTCTCTCCTCCCCTTGGGCCCTTGTTTAATTGAGTTGGCATTGGTCTTGTGCTTGATGCCAACATTGCCACAAGTCTGTATGTACAAGCTTCCAGTGACCTGGAAGCCTCTGCTTCCCCATGTTCATGAACCAGCCCTGGCTCTTACAATCTCTCCTTCTGTTTCGCAATGTCCCAGAGCTGTGGGTGGATGAAGTTCCATATGGGAGTCCTATTCTACACTCTGCAGTCTCTTTTTCTTTAAAACTTGGCCAGTTGCAGCCTGTGTGCATTTCACTCTGTTGTATAACGAAGCTTTACTGGTGAGAGTTGAGGGATGTATTAGTTATCTCTCTACCCCTTGTTCCTCTATGATCCATGAGTCTTAAGTTGTAGAGGTTCAGCTGTAGATGTGTCACCTAGTACTAGGCATCTTTCAGACATATGTTGTCTGTGTCTGACCAGATGTGCAGTTCTGCAGTAGTCTTCATCTGCTGCAAAAGGAAGCTTTGATGAGTGGTGTATGGTTTGCTTGTCTGTAAATATAAGGATCCATATTTAGCATATAGTAAGAAATTTCGTTTGTCCAGAGATATGAAAGAGGGTTTTCTCTAGGGTCTAAGTCCTCTCCTGCCATGTGTATTTGGCTGAGTTTACAGTGCCATCCATGAGTTTCCTCCCATTGAGAAGGCTTTAAGTCTAATTAGATAGCTGTTGATAACAGCACCACTACTGCACCAATAGAGGTAGTTTGCCATGCTGTGTTGTTATGGTTATTAGGCTTTAAGGCTGGATTGAACTACTGATTGTTTTTCTCCCTTGGCAGTTTGCATATCATCATCTAGCATTATGATAGCCAAAGAAGGCTTCCAGGTCAGTTCCTGTTCCATTCCTCTATACTAAGTATGTCTTGTCTTCATCAGTAGGGTCTTATCTAGTTCTGGAAGATAACCAAGAGGTTTGGCAATAGCCTGTGTTATTTTAGGAGTCTCCTGGACCACTTTCACCAACCACTCAGAGGGAGATCTCTTCTGTCTGTCACTGTGTTCTTTGCCAAGCTCTCCCAGGTATGCATATACACTAATGTTCAGACACTGTATGTGCATTTCTTGGGGGGCTTTGATATCACATTTCCCTCTAGGTTTCCTATTCCCCCAAGATTCATTCATCTCTACTCTTTTTTTCTCCCTCCTTCTTCCCTCTCTAGTCCCAGTGTCCCCATTATCACCACTGTCCCCCCAGTAACACCTGCCTCCCACCATCCTCCCTCTCCTGACCCCCTTCCCACCATGGGCCTTTGCATGTCCCTCCCTCCTCTCTTCCACTGGCCAATATCTTAATCGTGATGTGATATACAAGTGTGTGCTGTATTAAATGATGTAATCTGAACCTGAAGAAGAAAATGCATACCATTCGTAAGTCAACACTTATCGCTTGTTTTTAGAAATATTGGCGAATCATTATGAGAAGTTTTTCAGTGAAGAGTGTCTAATAAGCAGCTTTGGGATTTTGAGCAAGAGCATGCTTAGAAATTGATTGGTTAAAATTTCATTTTAGTTTTAAGGCTATTGAAATAGTTCTATTTTTTTGGCTAACTTGTTAAGCCAGTTTTTATATTTTATTTTACTTTTTTTTTTTTGGTCTTTTTGAGACAGGGTCTCCCTGTAGCCCCATCTGTCCTAGAACTCACTCTGTGGACCAACCAGGCTAGCCTTGAACTCACAGAGATCCACCTGCTTCAACCTCCCGAGTGCTGGGATTAAAGGCGTGCCATGCCCAGCTTATATTTTATTTTATTGAAAAGTTCAGAACTTGGGACTAGAGAGATGGCTCAGCAGTTAAGAGCACTGACTGCTTTTACAGAGGACCCGGGTTGGATCCCCAATACCCACATGACAGCTAACAACCATCTGTACCTCCAGTTCCAGGGGATCTGATGCCTTCTTCTGATCTCCACAGGCATTGCATGACATGAGTGCACTTATACACATGTAGACAATACACCCATACACATAAAATAAAAAAATAAAAAAATATTAAAAAGAAAAGTTCAGAACTTACAGAAAAGGAAAAAAAGGGGACTTAAATTTAGCTATCAGCATTTTGCTTTTTTTTGCCTCACTTTTTTAAAGCTATTTTAGAATATAATTTAAAAATTCATGATACTTTTTTCTAAATTCTTCCAAATTCATCTGTAAAATCAGAGTTTTGTTTTACCCTTAGCAGATTTTAATCATTGCTACCTCCCTCCCTCCCTCCCTTTCTCCCTCCCTCTCTCCCTCTTTCCCTCCCTCTCTTTTTTTGAGACAGAATTTCATATAACCTAGGCTGGTCTCAAACTTGCTATGTAGTTGAGGATGACCATCTCTTGGTCCTCCTGCCTCCCCCTCCCCTCTGCCCTCCCCTCCCTCCCCTCTCCTCCCATCTATTTAATCATTTAACTTACTCTGTCTAAGAATAGTGAAAATAAGCTGGGCATGGTGGTGTATGCATTTATCCCAGCACCCAGGAGGTAGAGGCAGATGGGGCTACAAGGAGACCCTTTCTCAAAAAAACTCAAAACCAACCAACCAACCAACCAACCAACCAACCAACCAACCAACGAACCAAAAATAAATAAATAAATAAATAAATAAATAAATAAATAAATAAATAGTGAAAATAGTGATAAATCTTTTAACTACTTTACCCAGTTTTCTGTAAGTTTCAAAGGCATTTTTACAGATGATTTCTTTGAGCTAAGAGATGAGTGAAATGAGTTGTATCCCTTAAAGTGTGTCTTTTAATTAATTTAGAAGCGTGGTATTCATTCCTGTTCTTGTTCATGCTGTTGAGTTGAAGAAAGGTCAGCTGTTTGGTAGTGTTTCCCACCTTCTGTTGTTCAATGTGTGTCTTGCTGATTAGTTTCAGACAAAAGCATCTTTTGTTTTCTGCAATTTTTGTGCTGCTATTAGTAATGAGTTACATGGCTTTAAAACATTTTAGTGCTGACTTTTCCTAATGGAAAATTGTGAGGACACTGTACCTTAGGCTAAAATCTTTAATGATATTTGAAATGCTAAAGGAATACTGTAATGGTTTGCTTTTTATGCTTAGAGCTAAGCCTGTGCTTCTCAGTTAAAGTCACCAAACTGACAGTTGGTGGCACTGTATCTTCTGGTTAGATATAGGAAATTTAAGTATTTGAGGTTTGCTTGAACCAGTTCTTAAAAGTGCTTCGCCAAATAGCTTATTTGCATATTCTCACTAAACATTCTTTTCCTTGCTACATTTTTCCTTTTTGAGATAGGGTCTCCCTGTAGCCCCAGCTGGCCTGGAACTCACTGTGTAGACCAGGCTGGCTTTGAAGTCACAAAGATCCACCTGCCTCTGCCTCCCAAGTACTGGGATTAAAGGCATGAACCACCACAGAAGACAATGTAAAAAAAAGTATTTTTATTCCTCTTATTTGGTTTGCTTCATCACTTTCTCTTCTCCATCAAAGCTTTTCATAAGCACACATCAGTTGATGCTTTCTGGGACAAATAAAGGTAATGCATGACTTGTGGATAGATGATACTCGGCAGCTGTTTATTGTTTATTCTAATTGTTTCTTTTTCAAAAATCTGTCTTCGTTCTTTTACAGTGGAACTGAAAGTTGTTAAAGAAAAAATTACCGAAACACTTGTTAATGATGATAAGACAGATCTTACTCAGAAGGGGCTAGTAGAAGAAGATTTTCGGTAGGAAAGATAGATTGAGTCCAACACTGAGTACAAGAAAAATGGGAGTCATAGCCAGGGAATAGGGAGCAGAAGGAGTATTAGTGACTGGGGAGTTACTAAGAGGAAACATCCAGGGTAAGAACCAGTTTCTGTTGAAATTGACCTAATAGGATTCTTTGCTCCTGAAGATAGGCCAGAGTGAACTGACACCCTCTGGGGGATTATGGAGGTGAGGAACCTGATCAGATATTTAGAATGATCAAGATGTCTTAGGGAGGAGATGGAGAGATGACTGGCAGCTCTTGCAGAGGACTTGGATTTGGTTCTTAGCACCCACATAGTGGCCAAGAGTATATTGCCTGCATGTGTGTAAGTGTACTCGTGTCATGCAGTGCCTCGGAGGTCAGAAGAGGGATCTGATAAGATCCCCGGGAACTGGAGTTATGGATGGTTGTTAGCCACCATGTGGGTGCTGGGAATCAAACCTGGGTCTTCTGTAAGAACAGCCAGTGCTCTTAACTACTGAGCCATCTCTTCAACCCCAAGATCTTTGTTATTAATGCCTGTAATTTTGTTGTTTGGTTTTTTTTTTTTTTTGAGACAAGATCTCACTATGTAGCCTTGGCTGACCTGGAACTCACTATGTAGAGCAGACTGGCATTGAACTCAAAGGAATCTGCCTGTTTCTACCTTCCAAGTGCTGGAATTAAAAGCATGTTCCACCATGCCTGACCCACAGTCTGTAATTTTTTTATTTTTGAGATGATATCTCCCTATGTTTCCTAGACTGGCTTGGAATTCAGGATCCTCCAATTTCAGCCACCCAGGTACCTGGGATTACAAGTGTGCTCAACTGTGGGCCCACTGTTACTAATATATTATTTTGTTGTTGTTGTTTTCTTGAGACATGGTTTTGTGTAGCCTAGGCTGGCTTCAAACTGGCTCTGTAGCCAAGGCTGGCCTTGAACTTCTGGTCCTTCTCTTTCCACCTCCCTAGTATTACAGGTGTGTGCCATGCTGCTTTTCTTAATATCTACTTAATGCATTTTTTAAAAATGTGTGTGGTTGCATGTGTGCCATGGTATGCATCTGGAGGTCATGGGACAACTTTGTGGAGTCAGTTTTTAACTTCCACTTTACACAGATTGGGACAATCAGACTTACTGAGCCATCTCCCTAGCCCTGTTGTGTTTTTTTTGTTTTTTTTTTTGATGCAGAATCTCATGTACCCAGGCTGGCCTTTAACTCACTGTTGCTGAGTCTGCTCTTGAACTCCATATCATCCTGCCTGTTCCAAGTTAACTATTATTTTGATTGCCTGAATTACATATTTTCTTTTCTTTTTCTTTTTGGTTTTTTAGAGACAGGGTCTCCCTGTAGCCCCAGCTGGCTTGGAACTTGCTGTGTAGACTAGGTTGGCCTTGAACTCACAGAGATCCAACTGCCTCTGCCTCCCAAATGCTGGGATTAAAGGCGTGTGCCACCATACCCAGTCATATTTTTTTACATATGATTTTAGAGTCAAATTATAAGTGTAAAAGATTTTATGGAACAAAGCAAAATTTTATTTTAATGATTAATTGATTGATTCTATTATTATCTACCTAGCTGTCTATTTATTTATTTATTTATTTTTTGAGACAGGGTCCCACTGTATGCTCTGGAATTTGCTATGTAGACCATTAGGCCAGACTGGTCTGGAACTCAGAGCTCTGCTTGCCTCTACCTCCAGAGTGCTGGGATTAAAGGCATAAACCACCATGCCCAGCTGTTACTGCAGTTGTAATTCTGTGATTAGGATACAGTATTCAGAGTATTCAGAGATGTTTATGGTAGTTCTTAGTCTTTGTTTTGGGAGTGAGTGGAGGGTCTTATATTTAGTGTAAATATAATTTGTACACTATAATTTGTATTTTGTATATGCAGGATAGGTAAGAAATTACCAGTTAGCAATTCCTCAGCCCATTATCAGGTTTGTAAGCACTGGTATAAATTAAGAGCATGGTCTGAAAGCCAGATGGTTTGTATATTTCCTAACTTTAAATACCCAAAAGCAATATGGGCAGAACTGGAGGAACATGGAAAGTGTGACTAATTTTATAGTTTTGTCTGATATATCAATTTGCCTGACATGCCTAGTGATGGTTCATAAATGATTGTTTTTTAAAAAACGAGATTGCAAGCCATTATTGAGGGCAAAAGAAAAGTAAAAATAGAAAAAAATACCAGACTGTAAATACAGACTTGATTAGGCTAAATATTGTTTTAAGAGATGAGTACTTCAGGTGTATAACAGCGAGTGTACAACACACTGTACTTATTACTGTGTGTTGTGGATAAAAGTATTGGAAGCATTGTCATAAATACTTTTGACTGTTTCAGATCTCATTGATGATGTATGTTTAATTGTAAGACCATATTGTTTTCTAGTTGTAATATATTATTCAGATGTGTAGTATATTATGAATAGATTTGATTCTGTTTCTTTGCAGTTAACTTCTGGAATTTATAATTTTGCGTGCTCTCTGTGGAATCACCATACGGACACATTCCTTCAACAGATTGCTTCTGGCAATGAAGCTGCAGTTCTAAGTTCACTAGAACGAACACTACTATCATTAAAAGGTACTATTAAGCTTGCTCTTTCATCTTTGAAATACCATTCCTCAGCACAGTTTCGAAATAGTTGCTTGGGATAGATTTCATTCCTGATTGCACTTAGAAAATAATCGAAGGAGTTCTCTATAAGCTATATAAGACAAGAGCTTAGAGGGCTTTTCTTTTCTTTTGTAAGAATAGCTGTTCTTCTAGCCTACTTTAACTTAGGAAAGTACCAAGTCAGTTGAAGTGGATGAGTTGTATTATGTTAATGATTCTTTTTGTTCTGTGTTCTCCTCTCCCCTGACTTCCTCTCAAATTTATGACTTCTTTATCGTTTTTATATATACACATAACATACATACATACATATTTATGTATATTCATAACCTGCTAAGTTCATTTAGTATTGCCCATAGGTACATGTATTTAGGGGTGGCCACTTATGATTGCATAACTAATCAGGATACTTGTCCCTGGAGAAAACTGATTTTCCCATTCTCAGTAAGCCATTGATTGCCTGTAGCTCTTCATCTAGGCTTGGATCTTTCTGAAATTTCCCCCTTCTACTTTGGCATGTCAGTTAATGCTGCTATTTAATGATATTCTTAACAAAATGAACCTGAAGTCAGCACCTCAGATAAATGGTTTTAAAATCAGACACTGTTGAGTACAGTGTCACACACCTTTAATCCCAGCACCCAGGAGTCAGAGTCACTCGGATTTCTGAGTTTGAGGCCAGCCTGGTATACACAGAGTTCCAGGCCAGCCAGGGCTACATAGTGAGACCCTGTTTAAAAAAAAAAAAAAAATCAGATATTCTAACACAATGCAATCTAAAGATAAACTAAGTTGATGTTTACATGATAAGTAAAGGTAGTAGAAAAATAATAAATATCTCTGTTTTCTGTAATTAAACCGTTATGTTTCTATAGCACCAAAAACCCAACCGGATGTGGTTGGGCATGCCTTTAATCCCAACAGATTTCTGTGGGTTCCAGGCCAGCTGGGGCTATTTGGAGACCCTGTCTCAAAAAGACAAAAAACAGACAAACCAACCAACCTTAAATACAGCTTAAAAATACCTCTTCATAACATACAGCAGCCTCAAATCTAAACTGAGCTATTTCAGGCAGTGTTCATTGGTGTGTGTAATGGCATGCAGTGCAAAGTGTGCATATTGTGTATTCAGAATCAAGACTTCAGTGAAATCCTGCAATGCAGCATGGGCAAGAGCTGCCAGAAACTCCTTGGATTCATTGTATGTTTGATTCTGAACTAATTTTTGGTTTGTAACCCTTTTATTATTGTCACATTTTTCAAACCTTCCATTGAGTTATGCAACCTGATCTGTGGTTGTGCCCCACAGTTTAAGAAGCTGGGCAGTAGGTAATCACCTTCTAAAATTAATTTTAATACACAGCCTTTGGACTTATGAACACAACACATAAGTCTATAGTAATATAGATAGCAATGCTTATTTAATAAGGTGGCTTCACATTTTGTCTCTGGCTGGGATGTGGCTCAGTTGTACATGTTTGCCTAGTATTCAAGAGGCCCTAGGCTCTGTCTTCCAAATTGTCTCAGGCTATCATTTTTATTGTGGAATTCTGCTGTTTTACATGTTATGCTATTGAATCCTTTAGTAGCTCTGTCAAGTAGGACTTACTAACCACATTTCCATACGAGGAAAGTGGGATGTAGAAAGTTTCCCAAAGTTATATGGTTATAGCAATGGAGAGAGGATTCAAATGTAGTTCTGATTTCATCTTTTGCCTTAGTTACCTACATCTGCGCACATTGTTTTTTAGAGTTACTATAAGATGTGATGCTTACAGTTGAGTACCATAGTCTATGCCAGATTTGGAAGGAATTTAATTTTCTCAATATATATATTTATTAAATTTTTGTGCATTTCATACATCTTAATCCTATTTAGACCCCCTCTCCTGTCTGCATCCTCCTCATAGCCTCCCCACTGGATTTCATGCATTCTGTCATGTATGTTAAGGCCTATTGAGTCAAGTTTGTCCCTAGATGTCGCTTGGTATTTCATCCACTGGTGCTTGGTCAGCCTTTCTAGTGTCACTCCCTTAAAGCCCAGTTTTCCCTCACCCAGTAGTGATCAAATGCCAGTAGTTCTTCTTCCTAAGGCTGGGGCTTCCTGCCCATTTCTTCAGTTCTGTGCTGATTTTTTTAAATATTTTATTTATTATTTTTATTTTTTGTATATGAGTGTATTAATTGCATGTGTGTAGGTCTACCCATGTCATGCAGTGCCCACAGAGGTCAGAAGAGGGTGTTGGAGTCCCCTGGATCTGGAGTTACAAATGGTTGTTCACCTCCATGTGGGTGCTGGGAATTGAACCTAGGTCCAGTGAGTGCTCTTAATCACTGAGCCATCTCTCTGGTTCCTTTGCTGGGTTTTTGTCTGGTTTGAGTTTGCATCAGTTACGTGCATGCTGTCACTATTGCTATAAGTTCATATGAACAAGTTCCCAGAAAACTGTTTTCTTGTGGTGATCCACCATCCCCGGCCCTTATAATCTTTCTGCCCTCCTTCCACAGTGTCTCTCAGCCATGGGTGGTTGAGGTTTAATATAGGAGTTCTGTCCAGGGACGTGTACTCTGTAGTCTTTTATTCTCTATGCTTTGGCTAGTTGTGGCCTCTATTCTGTGTTGCATGAGGAAGCTTCACTGGTGAGAGCTGAGAGACACATTGGATTTAAAGCTTGCTCAGTGGGACAGAACTCATGTGGTACTATAAGCATAGGCAAATACACATGGCTGGAGAGGTCATAGATACTAGAGAAAACCCTATGTTTGTTACATCCCTAGACAAATATAATTTCTTATTATGTGCTAAATATGTATCCTGTATTCACTGACCAGTATCCCTGTCCCCACTCATCAAAGGAACTCCTTTTTGCAACAGATGGAGACTGTTACAGAGTTTCACTACTGGTCACACACAGAGAATAAATAAGTGTTTGTGAGATGCCCAGCCCTAAGTGACACATCTACAGTAGAACTTCTATACCTAAAGCTTATGGAACATAGTGGGACAGGGGATATACAGAATTTAATTTTTACATGCCCCTTTGGGGGATATTCTATTTCTATGTTGCCTAAAACTGAAGTTTTTTAGTTGTATTTTGAAATTTATAGGAAAGTTACCTTCAATTTCAAGTAAGAAGTATTGACAAAATGTGTTTGTGTGCCCCCCCCAACATATGTATAAACAGCATAACTACATGTGAGAACAAACACTTCTTATGTTGAGAAGAACTGGACTTTTGTTCCATCTTTCCTACTAACTGCTTACCACCCAAATGACTAAGGTTTGCCTGTCTTTATCTACTCAGTGAAGAGATTAATTAAGCCACATTAACCTTCAAGCTTGACTAGGTTTTGTGGTTCAGATTATTATAATTGTGATCATGATAGGATAAAATATTAAGAAATAAGGCCAAATTCCCCTTTCCTTTTCAGTGCTGCGTAAGTTAACTGTGAATGGATTTGTGGAACCTCATAAGAATATGGAGGTGATGGTGAGTAACAGAAGTGATTTATGCTTTGTGGCTACTTGGACAATGTTTGGTATTTTTCTGAATGTCTTAAAGCATATGTTTTTTTGGGGGGGTCTTTTTGAGACAGGGTAGCCCCAGTTGGCCTAGAACTATGTAGATTAGACTGGCCTCAATGTCACAGCAGTCTCCCTGCCTCTGCCTCTCAAACAGTGGGTGTCCAAGGAGGCCAGATTGGAGCCCATGGAGCTGGAGTTACAGATTGTGGCAAGCTGCCTGGTGTAGGTACTGGGACTGAACTCAGGTTCTCTGGAAGATCAATAAACTCTCTTAACTGCTGAGCCATCTCTCCAGGCCCTCTTCATTTTTTAATGAACTCAATTATATTGTTATAATATTATAGTTTTAATGATTGTTTTGTATAATTTTCAGTGAACTAATTTAAAAAATTTAAAATTACATTTTAATCTGTGTGTGTGTGTGTGTATTTATGTGTGTTGGTATGTGTGTCTCATGGTGGGCATGTGGAGGTCAGAGGACAACTTGCAGGAATCAATTTTCTCCTATTATATGGGTTTGGGGCATCAAACTCAGGTTATCAAGTGTGGCACAGGGTGCCCTTAAATGACCAGCTTTCTTGCCAGCGCATATTTTTTAAAAGTTAAGTCAATATAAGATTCTTGTAATTTACTTGCCTGTTCCTCTTGTTTCCTTTTTGATTTTTGAGACAGGGTAGTCCTGGCTAGCCTGGAGCTCACAGAGACCCTCCTGCCTCTGTTTCTCAAGTTTTGGGATAAAAGGTGTTTGGCACCTACTTTTTTGATTTACCCTGCATTGTTTTTAGTTTATTTATTTATTTTATTTTTATTTTTATTTTATGTGTATGAGTGTATTACCTGCATGTATGTAAGTTTACCCGTGTCGTGCAATGCCTGTGGAGGACAGAAGAGGCCGTCGGATCCCTTTGAACTGGAGTTATGGACAGTTGTTAGCTGCCATGTGGGTGCTGGGATTTGAACCCGGGTCTTTTGCAAGAACAGTCAGTGTTCTTAACCACTGAGCTATCTCTCCAGCCCTGTTTTTAGTTGTCTTATTTCATTTATTCTTTTTATTTTTGTAGTGCTGGGAATGAGACCTTGTTCATGCTAGGCAAGTACTGTGCTACTGAACCATATTCCCAGTCTCTGCTTTTAATTTTTAAATACTGGTAAAAAATAGTAGAATAAACACTTGGTTGTCTTTTGTTGTGTACTTTTCAAATTGTATCCTGAGGGTACTTTCTTCAATATGTTGCCTTGTTTTTTGTCTTTTTTTTTTTTTTTTTTTTTTTTCTGAGCTGAGGACCGAACCCAGGGCCTTGAGCTTGCTAAGCAAGCACTCTACTACTGAGCTAAATCCCCAACCCCCTTTCTTCAATGTGTAAAGTATATGCACTTCTGTGTGTGTGTGTGTGTGTGTGTGTGTGTGTGTAACCAGATTGCTGGAACATGTATCAAAAAGTGGTATCAATCCAGTTCTCTTGCTGCATGCCTGTAATCTAAGTACTTTGGAGGCTAAAACATGAAGTTTCCAAGTTTGAGGGGAATCTGGGGTACAGAATGAGACTGTCTCAGAAGCAGAACAAATAAAAATGATAAATCAACCTCAGTTTTAAATACTGATAAATTTGGGGCTGGAGAGATGGCTCAACGGTTGAGAGTACTGACTGCTCTTGCAGAGGACCCGGGTTCGATTCCCAGCACCACATAGCTCCTACAAACTGTCCTTAACTCCAGTTCCAGGGGACTCCAAAGCTCTCTTCTGACCTCTGCGGCATTGGACAACATGGGTGCACTCACGTACATGCAGGCAATACACTCATACACATAAAATAAAAATAATAAATAAAATAGTTTTAAAAAATAAGTAAATACTGATAAATTAAAAAAATATTTTTATTTTATATGTATGAGTGTATTGCCTGAGTGTGTAAGTCCACCTGTATTATACAATGCAGAGGTCAGAAGAAGGTGTTGATTCCTTTGGAACTGTAGTTATGGACAATTGTTAGCTGCCATGTGGGTATTGGGAATTGAACCCAGGTCCTCTGCAAGAGCAGTCAGTGCTCTTCACCATTGAACCATCTATCCCCCTCTAATACTGTTAAGTTTTAATTGACCTTATTACGTAAAAACATTTTGTAGAAACCAATTTGACCATTCTCCATCACCTCACTAGAATATAAATTTATGGAGGCAGAATTTTGATTTGCTTTTGACCCCAGATCTTGGAGCAATCTTTTCTGTATAATAAAAGCTTAGTAGTTACTGTTGAGCGAGTCCATACATACCGTAGATGATATAGGAGGAGCATAGTACATCAGAAGGCGTAGTAATGTAACATTATTTTGGATATCATAATATTAATTAAAATATTGTCTTTTTTAGTCAATGAAAATAAATTGATTTGGATTATATTCTTAGAAGGTGAACTAATAGTTCTCATGGATACATAGGTATTTTATGAACTTTCTGGTATCCTATCTTTTGTCTCAGAAATTATTTATCAGCCTTTATTATATATGCCTTATTGTAGTATTTAATATATATTGTCTTAAGAGGATAAAATTTTATCAAATTTAGGACTTTTCAAAGAATACAAAATTGGTAAAAATAACAACTTAAAGGTGTTAAGGAAGCAAATGTGAGAGTGACAAGGTTCTGAGCTCAGAAGGCTATGGTTTGAATATAAGTTGACTGTGCAGATAGTGTGGTCCTAGCAGAGTATTCCTTACCATACTCTATGATATTCATTTCCTTTTTTGGTAATAAGGAGATGAAATAGTAATGCTGACTCACTAGATATTGTGAGGATTAAGGAGGATAGGGAATTTTTGTAATGGACTTGGCAAATAGTTAAAGTTCCCAAGAATTTAATAGCTATTTTAATTTGAATTTTATTCAATTATGTAACATTCATTAAATGAATGTTATGTAATAACTTAGTTTATTTAGACTACAAGTTAGTTAGCTGTAATTCTATATATTATTGATTCTTTTGACAAGCTTACTAAAATTTCATGCCCATTATAATTTTCTATCCTTTTTTTTTTTTTTTTGGAGATCACTAACTGATAGAGTAATTTTATTAAAAACAAAAAAGAATAAGCCAGACATGGTGGCATATGCTTGTAATCCCAGCATTCAAGAAGCAGGGGCAGAATTGCTCAGGAATTTAAGGCTAACCTGGGCTACACTGTTTCAGGCTAGCTGGGGCTATGTAGTGAAGTCCAAGCCAGCTGGGACTAAATGGTGAAATCGCATCTCACAGAAAAAAAAAAAGAATAAAATTCCATTTATTTTATAGTTACTGTGTAGGACATGCGACCCTTTTATAAATTTAAGATACACATGGAAGCTGGGCATGGTGGTGCATGCCTGTAGTCTCAGCTCTTGGGTGGCAGAGGCAGGTGGATCTCTGTGATTTCAAGGCCAGCTTGGTCTACGTAGTGAGTTCCAGGACAGCTGGGGCTACAGGGAGACCCTACTTCAAAAAGACCAAAAAAAAAAAAAAAAAAGATACACATGGAATCTTGGTGGGTTTTATTTTTTCTATAGTGAAACTGTCTTTTTATCAAATTGTTACTTTTCATTATTAATGTTCCAGCTGTTATTTCTAAGACAAATAATCTGAAAATAAAATGGCTTAAAAAGGGTCTGCTTTACAGGCATGGTGGCACAATCTCAGCATTTAGGAGGCAGAGGCAGGCAGATCTCTCAGTTCCATTCTACTGGGTGGAGCCACATAATAAACAGATAAGCAGTATGTCAAAGGTGATGAGGACTGAGGAAAATTCAATAAAGATTTTAAAGAGTGTTTAGTGAGAATGATTGTTGAAAACTTTATCGTAAAGTGATTTTTGTGTCTGAAATGAGATATTGAAGTTGCTAAAACTATATTCTTGTTGAAGATTTGTTTATAATTATGAATTGTTGCTGAGCATGTTGATATATACCTTTACCAATTACTTGGGAATCTGAGGCAGGAGGATTGCAAGTTTGAGGCTGGGTTGGGTAACTTAGCAAGACTATATCTCAAAAAGGGCTAGGAATATATATATATATATATATATATATATATATAGCTTAGCAATAAAATACTTGCCTACCATGTGTGAGGCCTTGAGTTTGATACCCAATATAGCTACACTCGTCAAAAAAAATGTATGAAATTGTTTTGTTCCTTATTTGGTATTGACACTTTTCTTCAGCCATTACTTTGTTCTGATTTTTTTTCTTTCCTTTTGTGTGTGCACATATGTGTGAACACATGTGTTAGTGTGGATATGTGTGTGGGTGTGTTTGCCTGTACCACACACAAGTCAACTTTGGGCATCCTTCAGGTGCTGAGCACCTTGTGTTTTGAGACAATCTTTTTCACTGGCTTGGAGCTCACCATATTGGCTAGTCTTGCCCCCTTTAGCCCTAGAGGTCTCTTTGTCTTTGCCTCCCCAGCACTGGGATTATGAGGGCCCACTACCACACCCAGCTGTTTTACTTGTGTTCTTGGGTTCAAACTCAGATCCTCGTGCTGTGTGGCAAGCATTTTATTGACTGAGCTGTCTTCCTAGCTATGCTTCCCCTCCTTTTTGGTTTTACTTTAAAGACTGGGGCTTATATCATCCAGATTGGCTTTACACTCATTCTGCCTCCAGAAAATTGAGGTTTCAGGCATATGTAACCTCATCTAGTTCTTTCAGATATTTTTCTTTTTCAGTCGTGTGGTAGATGTTTTAGTGTTCCTGAAGAATGTTTAGGGTTATGTCTGTAACAGAATAAATTGAAACACTTTAAAATGTATTCTTTTCTAGGGATTTTTACATGGAATATTTGAACGTTTAAAGCAGTTTCTGGAATGCAGTAAGTACTTGTGTCATAGTTTTTACTGTACAATTGATAATCATTTTCTTTTATTCAGTATTCACTAATGGCTAGGACTGGTGAAGGATTAGTATAGATGAGAAAATTCATATTCATCAGTAACTT